CCAAAATTATCTGTATATGAACTCTTTTCTATGGAACATCTATTAAATGTTGTGGAACACAGAAAACATTAAGCCCATAGATGGTCCAGCATGATTCAACCTTGCAACTGTAGAAGAGAAATATATTATGTTACCAGCATTAATTTAAGGACAAAAACTTGTTTAAACAATGAACAGCCAATCAAGTGGAAGCACTGCTAAGGATTACTTCCCATTCAAATTCACTTCCACACCATCACTAAACTTCTTTGAGTGTAGAAACCAAATTATATTCTGATGTAATTTATAATACTATCAAAATTGTATAGAAACATGATACAGCCCAGACCTAATTCAATTCTCAACTGCATGTGGCCAATCTGTACCTGAAACAACACTTTTTTCCTAATTCCAGGCCTAGGAAGACCAAATAATGGGTTGGTTGAGGTTGGAGGTCAAATTAACCAGGCTGTTACATTGTCACCAATTAAACAAAGTAGTTATTTTGCTCTCAGTGTCTCAGAATGTTGTCCACGTAAGTATTCCATAAAAAGATACAAAATAAGACACTGACATTTTACATTTTTATTGTTGCAGAATGTTTTATAAAAGTGTGATTTCATATAAACAAATCTTTTGTCCTCAAATTTTTTTGCTGACAAGAACTTTACTGTAATAATAAAAAACACTAACACAAAGATAGAAAAACAGGACTGTTTCTATCTTCCCTTACTTCTCCAGAATTCTGTTTAGACTTTGTACACACTTAATGCTGAAACAAATGCAGTCACACAATAAAAATTTTAAGACAACATAAACAGTAAGAGACATTCAATGACATCAGTTTTAAAAGAGTATGGAAAATATCAGGAGCCCTGGTGGCACAGTGGTTAAGAGCTACAGCTGCTAACCAAAAGGTCGGCAGTTCAAATCCTCCAGCCGCTCCTTAGAAACCCTATGCGGCAGTTCTACTCTGTCCTATAGGCTCGCTATCAGTCTGAATTGACTTGATGGCAACAGGGTAGGGAAAATACCAAAGATAGAATTAAAAATTAGCACAACATCAGCTAATTTAAGTAATAACCAAAAAAAGTCAGCCAAATGTCATATAGCTTACCCAAACCTAGATTGAAGTTTTTCTTTTTACAGTGTTCAAAATCTCATATTAGAAAACACATTCTGTACATTATATATCATTCTCTTGTAATATTTATTTTTCTTCTGTCATTGATAAACAAATTTCACTATGTGAAATTATTTTAATGTTTCCAAATTAATTCAAGAAAATGCTTACTTCTTTCAATTTTTTTCCATAATATAACTATTTAAAGGTAAAACCTTATCTTAAGGAAAATAGGCAAGGATATCAAACTGTAAAGAGGTCACTAAAAAAGGGATACAGTATTCGTTCCACTTGAGAGGGTATCCTTGTCTTCATCAATTCCTTCTACCACATCTGAATAAGATATAAAATGTATTATATATTCAAACTGATATATGAGAAACACCAGAAATGAGACTCTTTATTTCTTCCAGTTACCAGGCTCAAAACATCAGTCATCTCGGACACCTTCTCTTTTAATCTCTATATTGTGTTCTGTTGCCAAGCTCTATAGTTGCTATGGCCTTAACCTCAGGTATACATCTCCATTTTTTAATCCATCACTAGCACCCGAGTTAACATTCCTCATTATCTCCATTCTGAGTTATTTCAACAGACAACTAACTCTTTTCCCACCTCAGTCCATCCCATTCATTACAACCAGGCTAATCTTTCTAAAACATTTTGAGTCAATTCTGTAACTAGTTCAAAAACTTTCAATGTCACTCCAAACTCCCAACTCCACAATACCAAAATGGATACAAAAGCTTCACTCTGGCATTCTGCCCTTCCTCCAGAGACTCAACATTCACTCCCACTGTGCTCTCTACCAGTCACTTTCCATGCTGCTCCAACAGTAATTACTGCTCCTCTTACATGCCCCAGTTGTCCTAGTCAACAATTTGTCCATTATTCTTTCCACACAGAACAAACTCCTCTCTCTCCTCCTCCACCACTACCATCCCACTGGCCCATTATGTTGAAATCTTCTTCCTGTGTTAAACTTATAACTGGAATGTTATCTTTACTATTTAATGATACCTATAACTGAACTAAGGAGCTCTACTGGTACAACAGTTAAGCACTCGGCTGCTAACTGAAAAGTTGGCAGTTCAAACCCATCCAGTCGCACTGTGTGAGAAAGACCTGGTTATCTGCTCCTATAAAAATTACAGCCTAGAAAACCCTATGGGTCAGTTCTACTCTGTCAATTACATGGGGTCACTATGAGTCAAAATCAACTTGACAGCACCTAACAACAACAACATAACTGAACTTAGTATCCCCTTCCCTTTTATGCCCGGATAATTTTCTTTGCACTTTCCGTAAGGCCTACCTTACACTCTCTTGTAAGTCATATGTGTGCTTGGCTTGAAGACAGTAACTACACATTTCTCATGCTTGACTCCTCTATGGTCCTAACGTAGGATCAACACAGTTGGTACTGAACAAGTATTAACTGAACTGTGTCCAGTACATATATACAGACTGTGAAACTTTCCTACCAGTACCCCACTTCCCTTTTCCTTAGGAAACTGATGACTGAAAACTATCGAAGAATGTTCCTAGTCTGTTCAAGGAACTATCTGACATCTCCTAACTTCCTTACCTCTTCCCTTCCTTCTCAAGGAGATCAGGCATACACCACCATCCTCCCTTTCCCAAAATCAATTAAATTCACTGATTTTGTGGAAGTCTTCCTCATCTTATATATTCACTTTAACCTCATTCACTTGTAAAATTTACTTTAATCTGCTTTCCAGTCCCTGCCCAGTTATTGTGGGAAGGCAAATCAAACCAAAACAAAACTCTCCCTCTCTTTTCCTGCTTTTCATTCTGTCTGTAAGCCAGAAATTATCCTAACCATGGCTAATTTTAAAAATAATACCTACCATTTATTAAATGCCTACAATGGGCCTGATACTGTGCAAGGCTTATTTCTAGTTCTCTCAATAACTCTCTAAGACAGATATTACCATCCCCATTTGACAGACGTTCACACATGAAGCTCACAGACATAAAGTTCTTTGCCCACGGTCACACAGGTAATAAAAAAATCAGGATTCCACTGCTCTAGTTCTCCAGCTAGAGAAGTAGCACATACCTCAGGCAAAAGTTGTCAAAGCACCCTCAATCTTCTGAAACCCATGAAAATGCCCCAAAGACCTTTTCATCACCACATTCCTTCATATAATCTATATTTTAATAGTACTATTCTCTTTTCCTTTTCATTTCATACATTTAACATTTTATATTATTAATTAAATAGGTTTTTATTAACTAGTCTGGATTCTTAACAACATCCGCAAACTTATTTCTATAGGAAAATGGGTTACAAACCACCAATCTAAAAGCAAACTTTTAAAACACAACCCACATATAAGCCAGGAACATCCTTTTACACTTATACTTGAAAGCAGGGGATGTATGTTGGTCTCTCTTTATAATTTAAACCTCTCTATTTTTTTAAAAAAGTGATTCCTATTAGTTCTTAAGTTCTAGTGCCTAAAAGTAACTAACTAGCATATGGACAGCCAAACCACATAGCCAAATCCAGTCCACTGCCTATTTTTGTAAATAAAGTTTTACTGGAACACAGCAACACCCATTTGTTTACATATTACTATGGCTGCTTTCACACTACAATGCAGAGCTGGGTAGATGCAAAAGAGACTATCTGCACTGCAAAGCCTAAAATATTTACTTTATGGCCCTGTGCAGAAAATATTTACCAACTCCTATACTAGTAGATGTAAGCCAAATACTTTATTTTTATTTTGTCAACTATTCTATCTATTTGGCTATGGAAATTAATTTATTCTCATTCCAAGTAGTACTGAGATGACAACAAACACATGCAACAGAACAAAAACAGGTAAAAGCAATTAAAATAAGTAGAAAATAAGGATAAAATGTAATCTGGGTGATATCAACACACATACAAGAAGGCATTACCTACTTGTTAAGTTTGGGCACAAATGCTGTTTTAACCTTACTAGCAGCTAAAGTAAAGAGAGAGAGAGAATCAGTTCCACCTACTCACTATGTACAGAAAATAAAGTAATAATATTTGTTCATAAAAAAAACAACTCCTTCTGGGTTCTCATAATGGGATACTGGTACATAGCGAAAAACATCCTCCATGCTATGGTTACGTACAGTCAATACAATAGAAAGTTCATACACCTCTGCTATACAAAGCGTTTGTTAAACAAATATTTAAGTGTTTGTTAAACAAAACAAAATGCCTATAAATCTAACCAAGAGCCAAAGAAATGCAAGCTAACAAGCCGTTTCCTCATTCGCTGGATCTTGGCATAAAGTTTAGGTGCGGTCAGTAATACAACAATGTACAAAGTAATTCATCAACTTCTGCAGGTGCCTACATGTCACAAAGAGATACCTCTTTCCAAGAGCACAAAGCAGGTCCTATTAAGGCACCCTGGTTTCCTTTACACTGGTAAATGTACTAAACTGACTTATAAAAGGCTTTTATATAGGACTTTTCATTCAGAGATAATGTTTTTTTATCAGCAAAGTTAGTATGAAAAGTAACAGGATCTGGAAATAGACGCTGTAGTTGTATTTATAATTACCATTAAATTCATATTCTACCCAAACTAACACTGAAAAGGTGCTATTGTGTTAAAATCATCATACTTTGAAAATGAAGCTGGTAGAACAAAGAAGACCTGATCATCTACTCATACAAGTCTGGGGAACCGCAAAGCAAGCTTTGCCTAATTACTGTATGAAGATGTGAACCATACTAAGTCTATTACATAGTAAATGAGTCAATTAATTTGGGATTTTTTCTTTATTATTCTTTCCCTATCCATGGAATGTTTAGGGGTCAATACATATCTTTTAATATTGCCTCTTAATACATCATATCAGGGGAAAAAATTCTAAATATTACCTTCTGTAGAAGCTGCATCAATCATTACTCTTTGCATGAGTACTGGTTCCAATCCAAAGTCGAAAACTATGGTTTGGCGAAAAGTTCCAAATATTTCTGTGTTAAACGCTATCCCGACTTTATACACATAATGATCTAATCCATTTTGGGCCATCTTTCCTCCTATCCACTCTTGACAGTTTTCTGGGACTTCTTGCGATACCTGGGTAGTACTATCTCCGGCAGATATTGCAATGATACTAAAATGAGGACGATGAGCATCATAAAGCAATGCTACACGATACAGCATTCTTGCAGGCTACAAGGAAGTTAAAATAATTCATTGAGTACAAAAGGGGTAAAAATCCAATTGTAATTGGGCTCTTTAATGAAAATATTCCCATAAGGAACTTTTATTTTACCCATGCTTCTAAAATAATGTTAAAAATACAAGTTGTGTGCATAATCCATTTAAAAAAAAATTAGAATGGCTTAAAAAATCAGTTGTTAAAATGATATATTTATGACACATTACTAGCTTCCCTGCTTTCTGGGTACAGTCATCTTTTCGTGTGGCAAAAACTATCATCCTGAATGACCACAGGCCTCTAAATTTCCATACCTTGGCCATAAAAAGTTTTATCTAGCCTCAGTTAGGAAGTCGTCATAGGAGGGCAGTTACCTCTGAAAGCACTGGATTGGGTTCAAGGCTGAAGCTAAAAGTTCCCAGATTTTCATTCCTAGATACAAACGGTACAGTGGAAGAAATGCCATTAAAAAGTACACAAAACTTTTCCACTGCACATGTTCACAGAAATTTTTGACATAGCTTCCTTCTTAAACTTGAACATTATAATTTAAGATGGCAAGCACTGCAGAAAATGTCTCTAATACTAAAAATCCACTATTACTGAATTTATGATTTCATCAAATATAAAAACAAGATGTCATTATGTAAGCATCTTAGAACTGGCAGATTAAACAATTCAAATTTTAGTTAATTATAGGCCATGAACCCCATCCTATGTTCCAAGTTTGGAAGACAATATGTCAAAAAACTCATTAATAAATAAATAAATAAGTATCCTGAACAGCTACAAAGATCTTATCTCAAAGTCTTAAAATAAAACTGTTCTTTTAATGATCCAAATGCAGAAATGCACTTTAGCACAGTAAGTACATAAAATATACTTAGATTAAAACATTATCAATGCTCTTTTAACACAGAGATTTAAAGGTCAAAAAAAGTTTAAAGAAAATTGAACAATATTTACCATAATTTAACTGGCACTAAATTCGTACCTTACAAGTGAGAGCAAAGGTCCACGTCTGATGAGATTTTTTGGTGTTGACAGTAACTGACAGATCAGGATTATGCTCTACCTTTACTCCTTCTATACACTCACTAAGCTGAAAACAGAGAGCAATTAGAGTTAAGATTTTACTGCAAAAAGCACAAACAAAAACTATCAGCATGATAAATAAATGTCAACACTAAAGATGTGATGGAAGTGTCTGACAAGGTATTTTATACACTCATTTTCAGTTATTTTTATAAGAAAAAACTAAAGCTAAAACAAGAGACATAAAAAATAAAAATAAAAAAAAAACCAAAAACATGGCAGTCAAAACACTCTGAATGAAGATAAATTAATTCAATACTTGCAAACCTCCAAGCAAATAAATGGTTTGGTTCTGCTCTTTATTTTAACAAATGCGTCTACATTAACTATTAAAAACACCATTTTACCAAGAATCAAGTTCTTCATACAGAGGATAAGGAAATAAACCAAAACAGAGCACATAATAAAGTCAAGATTCAAACAAGTTCATTGTTCAAAACAAACAAAATATAGTTTATTTTCCTCACCACTTTCTCTGGAGATAATGAATTCATCCACTTTTCTATCAACGTTTCCATGTAACTGCCTGAGAGCTGTTTATTCTCATTTTGCTGTTTCAATTTTATCAACCGTGAAGCATATCTTTTCTGCCATTCTGCCAGTTCTTCCTGGGAATGTGCTGAAGTACACTGAGCACCATACCTACAGATTCCTTGCTCTAAAAATCTAAGTAGAATAGGAAAGACTGTTTTATCATACACTTTGCTGAACCATTTAAAAGATAAACTTCCCTCTGACTCTTCAATAACAAAAGCAAAACATCATCTCCTGAAAAGTCATATTTATCACATTATATTGTACAAAGGAGGGAGAAGTGGCTTAGAGAACATTTGCAACAGTTATTCAAAAGCAACACCTCCCCAGATTCACTGATTTCCTTCATTGGAATAAGAGGATCCTAAAGCATAACATATTCATGACCCTCCCCAAAAAATGGCATTGAAAAAGCAGTCATCTTCCTTTGTGATATAACCAATCTATTAGACAATTCCTCTCAGAGGAGAATTTTTCTAAAGCAACACTGACATCAAGTGGCACAGTTGCTCAAACACAGGTATACTCTACTTTCCAAAATGATATACCCTACAGAAAATTTTCTATATACTGGAAATTTTATTCTGAGAAAAAATTTAATATATCATTAAATTATCATTTTATTAATACTTCTACTTTAAATCCCCAAACTAAATGCTTTCACCCCCTTTCTACATTACTATTACCTATATTTCATTGAAAATATTGGACTGTATTAATTTGTTTGAAATTTTAAATAAATTTAGACTAAAAGTTTTACATTACAAAACCATGGTTTATTCAGTCATATTCAACTGTTCCATGGATAAATTCATAAATTTTCATTTTAAAGGATACTGAGTTATTATTTCTCAAAGTTTATGACTCAGAAAATTTGTCAATTCAGTGGTCAAGAACAGATAAAAATATAAGATTTTAATCAATAATTAAAAAAAAATTTTAATACCCTCATAACTATGGGACAAAAGTTTTTAAATCAATGAAAACAAAAAATTGTGAACAATCCTCTGACAGAAAAAATTAAAATATAAATAGCAAAACTAAAACAAGAGAGATGTTATATTAAAGACAATTTTTCAACCGAAAAAAATATGGATAGTAGGAAATACAAAATGAACACAGCACAACATAAATTATTAAATGGTTCACCATACTTGAAAACATGAGCGTATTTAAAGTTTTTCCTGATGATTCACAAAGTTTTGAAGTTAAATTATACTATTTATTAAGTTCTCTTGTACTTCAGAAAACACATTTAAAATCATGTTTTTATGTTTTTCTTATGCAAGTCTTAACAAGCCAAATATTTGTCTTTCTATTGCTCTGTTTTAAATTACTTCCCTAAAAACTGAAGGTTTTATATTCCAATCTGGACAATAAATTTTCTTATATTTCCTTTTCATAGGATTGTGTTCTACCTCTCCTACAACAAGATACTACCAGGATTTTCAAATTTCACTATTTAGTTTCCTTATTTCTCCTGCAAAATCAAATAGAACATCTTGGCTTTTCAGTCATCAAAATTACATATCTAATTTCCTTAATTATAAAAAGTAATTTCTAGAGTAATAACTTATATCAGAAACCTACTAGTTACTACTTCTTATAAAAATAACTGAAAAGCTCACCTTTTTAAATGTGACCTTATTCTTTCCACATTAATACATAATTACTAAATTTTAAAAGGTTAGCCATTCAGATATAAATTACTCATAAATTTTGCATCAGGATCCCATGAAGATAATAGATTTTCTTTCTTCCAGAAAATGTACTAAAATAATTTAACATTTCTTTATTTTATGTATGGAGCCTTGGTAGCATGGTGGTTAAGAGCATGGCTGCTAACCAAAAGGCTGGCAGTTCAAATCCACCATCTGCTCTTTGGAAACCCTATGGGGCAGTTCTACTGTGTCCTATAGGGCCACTATGAGTCAGAACCGACTCAATGGCACCTAACAATGACAACCACAACATTTTATGTATAAGGTAATTTCAATTTTGATCACCATAACCTACGTAAATTTCACACAAACAAGAGACCAGCAATTAAGTTCAGTCATAATAATAAAACTGGTATTGTAAAAGACTTCTGAACAAAGTCTTAATGACCTCCATTGAGGCCACTGTTGTTTGTAATTATAAGAAGGCTCATTAATATGGTTTTGACTTTTATTATTTAATGATAATGACCAGATGGCTTCTGTTTTAAGCTGAAAGTAAATCATTTTACTCATCTTACATTTTACTTCTCCTTCTTTCACATACTGAAAAAACCAAACCCACTGCCATCGAGTCAATTCCACCTCATAGCGACCCCATACGGTTTCCAAGACTGTAAATCTCTACGGAAGCAGACTGCCACATCTTTCTCTCAAGAAGCAGCTGGTAGTTTTGAACCACTGACCTTTTGGCTAGCTGTCGATCGCTTTAACCACTGCACCACCAGGGTTCCAAATGCCTACTTCTCAAAAAGTAAAGGAAAATTATCTATCCTTTGAACAAAGACATGTCATTGTTTTAAGAAAAAAAATCACATTACCTTTTACACAAAGTATATTCCTCGCTGCTTGTGATTCCCCTAGGTGGTGGGCGGAAATGCCAACCATTACAAGATCCTAGAGAGTAATCAGGATATAGTCTTATCATTTGAGGCTTGCTAGTGATTCGGATAGTTTAATGTGTAAGAAATACTCTAATGCCTCCACACACATCATTCCAGATGATGTAAAAAAAAGGACATGACATACTTGCCCCTACCAAAAAGAGTAATCTAACAATTGCGTTAAATCAATTAAATATATGAAACTTAGAAATGACTGAAGAAGCAGTTACCCAGCAGTTAATGAAGTTAATAACCCTGACTCTATCCCAGCAACTGGTGGACATACTTCCAGGGCAGTTTCTTCAGGCATATGCATACTTAGAAAATTTTAATAAACATAAATCTGTTGCAAATCTTTTTTTTTGTTTGCTCTTGGGTTTATGTTATACTATAGTTAAACATAGAAAAGAGGAAATTGTATACCCCTCATTAACAACTACAGGGGGAATGTCGGCATGCTTGTCATTTCTTAAGCATGGGATGTGTCTCTACTAGGAATTCCTTAAGGAGTAAAAAAATTATTGTATCCTGGAAGAAAACCTTGTATAATGAATTCCAATATGAATGCTGAATGAGAAGAAACTCCAGATTATCATCCGTGTTCCTTAGGATTTGTCTGACCCATGTTTATTGTAAAAAGTACTCCCTTTTGATAACTGAAATAAACTTTAAAAAGCTGAATTCTGAGACTGGAGCTAAAAAATGCTATTTGTTTACTTCTGAATACTATGGGCTTTATTTGTTCGTGTAAATAAGCCAGGGAAAATCAAAAAGGACTAAGAGAGAAAAAAGGCTACTGCTATAAAGGTTGAGCAGGGACAAGTTTTCAAAAACCTCATAGTCATTTCCTATATTCTCACAAGTCACTGTGGGGGAAAAAAAAAAGAAGATATTCAGTCAGGCTGAGTTTAAAGCTGCTCTTCATCCTTTACTAGCTGTGTGACTTTGGGCAGATTACTGGACCATAGCGAGTATCAGTTTCATCACTTATAATAAAGATGGAGAACAGGTCTAAGAAACCAGGCACGTTTATGTGGAAGCCACTGCGGCAGTACACAGCATTCAGCAAGCACTCAGTGAATGTTGGTCTCTCTTCCCCTTCCTCTGGCAAGAGAAGGGAAGGAAGATCATGAACTTTAATTATAACAGGAACAACTCAGCTTACAGGTCAAAAAGTTGTACTAGCCTGGGATAAGAGAGATGAGAAAGCATCCTTCCTCTACAGATTGCTGAGAATAGGGTTTAAAAGTGGTCCTACGTGGAAGCAAGACGAACTAGATGATGCCTACTAACCTCCATTACTCCATTATTCTCTGAAAAAGGGCCAGTAAGAAAATTGTTTTCATCTATACCTAATTTCTTAAAACTAATTTTTTTATATTCTCTCCTATATCTCTACTTACATCTTCTACAACTCAGTATATTTCCTCCCAATAACCAGTTAAAAAGCAAAGCCTAAAATCACAGCTATAAAAAGTTACACAGAGTTTGTACGTACCCTCTTCTAAGTCTTCCATGTGATATCCAGAGAGGACGTTACTCGTTGCTGTCTGCAATTTTTCAAATGAAAGACATTTTTAAAATAGGAACTACTGCTGTTGATGTTGAATTTAACTTGGACATTTTCAACATAAAAAAAAACTGTGGCGTATGCATTCTTAGAAAATTTTAATAAACATAAATCTGTCGCAAATCTTTCTTTTTTTTTTTTGCTCTTGGGTTTATGTTATACTATAGTTAAATATAGAAAAGAGGAACTTGTGTACCCCTCATTAAAAAATTGAAAGAGATCCCCTACATAAAAATCACCTGGTAATAGAAAAAAGAGTCTAGAGTCCCCAGTCCTGAACCCTATAAAGGCAGTACCTTCCATCCATTTATTCATTTCCCCTTCCTCTTCAGAATACCTAGAGAATGACTGACTAGAGAGGGGCCTTTTCTCCTGCAGAGAATGGAGCACCACCATTTCGGGGCCTGGGAGCACTTCTGCCAAGTCCCCCTCACTCTAGAATGAGTGCTTTTCCCACAATGGGGCCCACAGCTGGGGATCCACTCACTCTAACTTCCTGGTTTTCTTAACTCCCTCATTACAGATGAATCCCTGGTCTGCCCCTTCGGCTCTAACTTTACGCTAAGCTCCATACCCCCAATTTCAGCTGAGTGCTGGCTATAGCACTTTTTCATAACTATTCTGTAGCACTCTACATGCTAGATTATTCTTAGCTATGTAGGGCTCTGCTGATAGCAGCCTGTAACTTCCTTTATGCATTCTCCCACCAAGCAGAATATCCAGAACATAATAGGTGCTCAAAAAATGTTTACTGAATGAGTATCACCCAAGTACTTCAAACATAGTATGTCCAAAACAGAAGTGATCGACTTTACCCCAAACCTGGTCCTCCTCCAGTGCTCCTTATTTCAAGTTAATGGATTCATCTTCCCCAAAGACAGCCAGACTGAAATTTTGAAATTTTGAAAGCCATCTTGAACTCTTCCCTCTTATCCCCTATCTGCCCCCTACTCTCTACTCCACAGTTCTAGTTATGGTCCTTATTACCATGTGTCTTGTCTATCCCTGAACCAACAGGCTACGTATCAAGTCACCTCTGGGTCTTTGCTTAGCTGTCCCCATCCTTTAAAATTCTGTTCCAACACCCCTGCCTCTATGGTTCCCCACCCCAGCCCCAGAGTGTTAATCTCTCCTTCCCCTACTTGTACTTCCATTACAGCACTTACTGACTGCAGGCTGCATACTGTCCGCATTAGCCATGTGCATGTCTGTCCCACCAGACTGTTTTTCACTGATATCAGTCTCAGCTTTCCAAAACCCACAGAAACCTGAATAGCACAGGAGCTCAGTAAATGTTGAACTGAATATAATATAAATGGTATTTGGGTATAACTGAAACAATAGTATGACTATCATTCATATATGGTTGAGCTGGAACTAAATCCCTATAACACTGTTTCTACAGGAAAATGTTCTGATTCTCCGTCAAGCTACTTACCAACAAACTGCTAAAACATAACCCATTCTTTTTGTAAAATGAGGTAATGAATATAAGAATACATAAGCTAACATATCAGGAGTAACTGTTCACATTACAAGGATTCTATACCTCACTAAAAAGATTCATTGAAATATCTCTTTAAATTCTAAAGCAAGTTCTAAGTGCCACAGTACCACACTAGCCCTTGAAATATGATTACATTTACATAAATACGAAAGGTAAAAATTCACTTCAAGTGTGAAAAGCTTAAAGTATCTCCTCTTAAAAACTTAAGAGAAATAAATTAAACAAGTCTTCAAGAGAATAAATGGGAATAGAATGTTTTGCTCAGAAAATAAAGCCTCAGACATTTGCAATTGTTGTAAGAGAGAAACACATGGTATGCTTTGCAAGGGCAGCATCCAAGCCCATCAGCAAATGTGCAGAGTGTGTTCGTGCTGACGCTGCGATTCTCAGGCTAGTGGGCATCTGGCTACATCACACCGTCACCAGAAGGGAAATCTGTGCCTGGGCTGACTATGTGGCTACTGTGGCTTTTAGGTTGCAAGGTGCTTTTTTGTTTGTATGTTTGTTTGGGTTTTTTCTGTTTGTTTTGAACACCTTTTTTATGTGCCCAAAGCCCAAGACAACAAGGCAGTTGTCAATTAGCTTATGGTCTTCCATTCTGACTGACACCTTCAGGGAAAGTGGCCAAACATCATACCGTTAGAACTCCCATAAATTCACAATCAAATCTATTTATGAAGATACCTTATATTTACCAAATGATAGTTAATGTTTTGATTAATTAGCCATTTTCTTCCATGTCTTTATCCTCATCCACTAGAGTTTACAAGTTAAATGCCAGCTCAGCCCAATCTTTAAATAACATATTCTTACTATTTTTAAATGTGTCATGTGCAATAATAAACAGAAGTGGTATTGTTTGTTAGCTTTTTCTAGACGGATTTTTTTTTTTAATAATACCAGTTCACTAACCAAAAAGAATACTACTCCGGTTACAGAAAAAGGAAATTACTAACAAAACTTAAATCACTTTTTTCAAAAGCATAGTCACAGAGTAAGAGTCAAGTGATATTTCTGCCCTCTTTGCTGTTGTTGTTAGGAGATGTCAAGTCAGTTCTGACTCACAGCAACTCTATATACAACAGATGAAACAATGCCCAGTCCTGCACTATCCTCACAATCATTGCTATGATTGAGCCCATTGTTGCAGCCACTGCAACACTATAAACATAAAAAAATAAGATCTTGAAATGTTTGTGTGTGGTTATCAGATGTAAATCTGATAATTCAATTAAAGCAATAAAAGAGAAGAACAAAGTGTTAATAAAATGAAAAGTCATTTTATGTTCCTTAAAAAAAAAAGTCTAAAGTATTTATAATTATCTTCCTTCACTCCTTTGAAATTAAAAAGACTACATATATACAAGAAAGGAAATAGCTTTGAAGTTAATTAGAGCTTATTGGTTCTCAGTAAATCACAATACCATAAGGTAAGGAAAATGATACTTAAAAAAAAAAAAACTCAAGAGTAGCAAAACAAAGTTTCTTTATCCAGCTTGTGTAGTGATGCAAAGCGGCTGTCTTCTTTGCCTACTTGTTTGCTGGTATGAGCTGTGAGGTATTAGATTTGGAAGGAGAACGCACTCTACAGGAGGTCAAGATTCACGACCCAGTTTACATCCTTACCGCCTGCCTGGAGTGCTCCCATCTCCCTTTCCAAGGAAGCCGCACCTTCTCAGCTCTCAGCTCTTGGCTTAGCTGTCCTGTCCCCGATCACCTAATCCAAAGTTATTTTTCTATCTTTTCCATCCTAACACTTACCTCAATTTGAATTATACCTACAGTTGTTTAATTTATTTGTTGTCTGTCTCCTACCCAAGATTCTAAGCTCCTAGAGGACAACGACCAAGGGTGTCTTGCTCAGTGCTGTAGCTCAGCACCTAGTGCAGTACCTAGCACATAGGAGGTGCTCAATTCTTGAATAAATAAGCCAATCAATTAATCAATCACTTTACATGGGCACCCACTTATAACAAAAGCCAACAAATAGCTATTTTTAAAACAGGACATCTAAATAAAAATATTTTTATAAGCCTGTATGAGGAATAGAAATTTGAGACTTACAAATCTATGGGTCTTTTACACGCTTCTGCTGTCCCTGCCTTCCATGTGCCCAAGTCCAGCACTGGAGTACATTTTGCTCACCATTTACCATGGCACATTATTCCCATCTCCTAAAAACTGTCCTCAAATCAGACTTCCTTTAGTTAATTCAAAAAATATGGAAGGCTTGTGCAGCAGCTCATATCTAATGATAGCAATTTTCTAATAGCCACAAGTAACTGATAACCAAAGTTTCCCAATCATCCATTTGTTGGCCAGAGATAACTAACAAGAATTAGGAACAGTGTGAGTAGTGAGCTTCTTTACAAAATCATCTACATGAGACCAAATGGTCAAAAACTACTCTACAGCACAGTGAGAAGGTAACGGCACAGGGAAACTAGAGTACTAGAAATGGTACAACCAGAATGGCATGAATTAGAATGATGACACATTGTGAAAAATGCAACCAATATCACTGAATAATCTGTGTAGAAATTGTTAAGCGGGAATCTAATTTGGTATGGAACTTATACCTTAAACACAATAAAATATTATTTTAAAAAAATCAGGGACAGAAAACGTGAGATGTAGAGGAGACATGAGAAGAGCAAAGTTCCCAGGATGGGACCAAGCTGTGTTCAGGGAAAGGTCAAGAAGTTCTCACTACCCTTCCCCCAACAGCCCTGCCTTCTTGGTTGATGTCACAATGATTTTTCAAATTTTAATACAGAATGCTTACTAGGCAGATTGAGTTAAACTCTTTGTAAACAGATGCATTGAAATAGTCTTACCTCTGTTTCTGTGAGAAGTGTTTTTAGTCTTGTCAAATCTTTTGTTACCATCCCATTCTGAATGGATGAATAAAAAAGAGGAAAATCAATTAGTATATTAGCTCTTTATTACTGGGGACTTAGCTCAATTCCTCAGCTGTTTCTGAAGTTTATATGTAAAAAATAATGTTATCCTCACTAACATCCATACTATCATTAATGGTGATAATAAAGCTACCCATGTATGAAAAAAAGTTAAAGATAAACACGACAAACTGTACAATGTACCTTTTCTTATAAGTAAAAACACTCATTCACCCTACGTAAGAGTTGACAATTAATTCAAAAAATAGTTACAACCAGTATCACTGTAGAACAAGGCAGGATAAGTGAAGAGAAAAACCTAAAACTTTTTAAAATCTTTTTTTCCTAAGACTAACGGGTTTATATTTGCAAAATGATAAACCCAAATGGTTAATTCACAGAGACTCACAAAAAAGGATCATAGCACTTTAAAGATGGTCATTAATAAAGTTTTGAAGGAAAATATACACAAATTATTTTTTGAAATTCATATTTCACTTGAGATTTAAAAGCAATACTTCTTACTAGTTTTGAATTTAAAAACCCAACAGGTAAAACTGTAATACACTTACCAGACATAGAAAAGTCCTTAAGGATAGAATTAATAAAGAAGACATATATTCTTTATTAATTCTAACCTTAAAGTCACAGAGTAAGAGTCAAGTGATATTTCTGCC